GATCGGGGGTGCTGGGGGGGACAGGTGCCGCGATGGGAAGCAGCATTCCGGGCCTGGTGTGGCAGCAGGAGCAGGGCAGTGCCCGTCCCTGTGCTGCCACTGCTGAGGCCACAGCTCGAGTGCCGTGTCCAGCTCTGGGCCCCTCAGCACAGGGAATTGAGGGGCTGCAGCGTGCCCAGAGAAGGGAACGGAGCTGGGAAGGGGCTGGAGCCCCAGCAGGGGCTGAGGGAGCTGGGAAAGGGGCTCAGCCTGGAGAAAAGGAGGCTCAGGGGACCCTTCTGGCTCTGCACAAGTCCCTGCCAGGAGGGGACAGCCGGGGGGGATTTGGGATGTTATCCCAGGGAACAGGGGCAGGAGGAGAGGGAACGGCCTCAGGCTGGGCCAGGGGAGGTTCAGGGAGGACATCAGCAGGAATTTCTTCCTGGAGAAGGTTGTTAAGCATTGGAAGGGGCTCTCTGGGTATATGGTGGGGTCGCCATTCCTGGAGGTGCCCAAGGAACACCTGGACATGGCACTCAGGGCTGTGGCGTTCGTGACAAGGTGCAGGTGGGTCAAAGGTTGGACTCAATGGTCTGGGAGGTCTTTTCCAGCCTGACTGATTCTGTGGTGGGATGATGTGTTATCAGTGTTGTTGGTCCAGGTTATGCAGTACCATGATGTGCTGTTGTCATTTACAGAGGGTAGCAGTGCTGTAACAGTGTCTGCAAGTGCTATGACAGTGGCTAAGGCAACCCAGTAGGTATAAAATTGTCTGCTGAGGGGATGTATGCCTTCCATGGTTTTAACTAATTAATTCTCTGCACACAAGAAAGAGCTTTTCTCAGTAAGTGATTTTTTTTCACAGTAAGTAGTATTTTTTCACAGTTCTTCAAGCTTTTCTGCTTTATCCTTTCAATATCTGGAACATACTGTGGAAGGTAGATACTTAGATTTGGTAGAGATAAGTACAATGCAACTTACTTCTTCAGCATCCTTTGCAAAAATAGAGATCAGGTGGAATTTACTTTAAAGATACTTTGTTCTTGTGTTTATCACACAAAGAGCTTCAGTGGCAAACAGGAGCCAAACTTGTGTTTGCCCTTCATAGCAACCAAATGTGTTTGAAAGTATGCATGCCACTATATTTATTCCAGATTTCTCAACAATTTCTGATCAAGCTGGGGAGCTGATTGGCGGTGGTAACATGGAAGGACACAGGACGATTGTCCTTCTTTACAGAAGAGAATCTGAAATGGTGTAGCCATTGACTAATTCTGTATTTAGCTATACAATCCAACTAGCTGCACGATCAGGCTTGTGGGGGGACAAAAAAGACCTGGATAGATTTTTCTATTCAGCAGTTTCATTTTGTATGCTTTTGCCTGTGTGTGGATCCTGAGCACTGATCAAAGCAAACTTTGTTGAAGTAAATGCTGTGCTGTGTGAGCAGCAGCTGCTGTGCATCAGCAGTTCTTACTCTGTTTGAGCAGCTGGCTTTAGCCAAATGTGATGCTTTAGACAGAGACACAGAATTTCCTGGTTTCCTGTGGACACAGCTAACTCATGCCTCAGTAACGCAGCAGTTCTTCACTCTTGAGGCAGAAGGACAGCCAGAGATGATGGAGGGATGGAGCACCATAAGGAGAGGTTGGGAGAGCTGGGCTTGCTCAGCCTGCAGAAGAGAAGGCTCTGTAGAGACACAATTGCACCTTGCAGCGCCTGAAGGGAGCCCACAGGAAAGATGGGGAAAGACTTTTTATAAGGACCTGGAGTGACAGGGAAAGGGGGGATGGCTTCAAACTGACAGAGAGTAGGTTTAGGTTAGATATTAGGAGGAAATTCCTGACTCTGAGAGTGGTGAGGCCCTGGCACATGGTGCCCAGAGGAGCTGTGGCTGCATCTGGATTCCTGAAAGTGTCCAAGGCCAGGCTGGATAGGGCTTGGAGCACCCCAGGACAGTGTCCCTGCCCATGGCAGGGGATGGGACAAGGTAGTGTTTATGAATATTTATGGATGTCTTAAGGTCCCTTCGAGCACAAACATTCTGTGTTTGCCTCTAAGCTTTGGAATTTTTAATTGAAGTCTACTCAGACTGTCCTATGACTGCGTTGTGTGGATCATTACTGAAGGGCTAGCATTCTCTTTCTATTTTATTCATTCTGCTTCTCTGCTTTTGCTTTTACCAGATATGTTAAATTTCCCACGTGCTCTTTCTACAACCCCTGCCTGACTCTTGTAAAGAAGCATTTCTCCATGTGATGAGTGTGACTGATGTCAGAGGAGGAGCTCAGGAGACTAGATTTTTCTTGGTGTGGGTAACAGGTGCAGAAATAGGCCCCAAATTCAGAATGTCTTCCAAGCAAATGCAGTTTGTAGTGGCTTGGGTTGTGCAAGTGTGATAAGGGGCATTTGGCTCCAACAGTTGATTCCCACCCACGCCCTTCCCCCATGAGGTAAAAGAAAACAACATGGAAAACCATTCTGGAAAACCAGTCTGATGGGGCACAGCTGAAGGAGCTCATACTCTGTCTGTAAGCAGTTTGCACTCCTTCAGTTGCAAACAGACTTTCTAAATTATAGAGAATCCTAGAACCTAAGTAATTTTCACTCAGTTGTTTTATGAAGTGAAATTTCTGTAGTTGTAAAACTACTGTCAAGTCTGACGGTGTGGTTCTGCCTGTACCTTGTGTGTGAATAAACATTTCCTCCAGCCTTTCTGTGTAAGTCTTATGAAACCAATTGACTTTGTGGAAGTGCTTTGTTTACCTCTGACTGATGGCTCATAGACACTAACACTTTCCCTTAATATCTGGCAGGCCAGAAGAATGTTTGAGGGAGAAATGGCAAGCCTGGAAGCCATTCTGAAAACACAGACGATAAAAGTGCCTAAACCCATCAAAGTTATAGACCTGCCCGGGGGCAGTACTGCATTTGTGATGGAACATTTGGAAATGGGAGGCTTAAACAGGTAAAACAGTGTTATCTTTTCCTCCTTTAACAAGAAATTTTGGCTGTTATGATAGTTCAGTCACTTGTTTTCACAGGGGACCCTTGTTTCATTTCTTTCTAAAGCAAGCCAAGACAAATATGGGAAATCACCCAGTGTAGAGCTGTATCAAATACTTCATAATGCCTCACCTAGCAAATTGATCATACATCCCAAAGTGAGCCTGGGTTTTGGTTAGTTTGGGGTTTTTTTAGCTTAGGTAATTAGTGATTTTTACAGCAAGGTTTCTTTTCACAGAAAGGAAAATGACCAGCCTGATCCCATGTTTTGTGTACTTGCCCTCTATATAAGAACCAGTACTTTCTTGCTTGGCGATTGGGACCGATTTTTCATCTCTCTCCCTTAGAACTTCTGCAGCCAATTTAAAGTCTTGTCCCTCATCCTGCTTGTTGGCAGAGTTTCTAACTCATGAGGAGCCCTCAATGAGTCCCAAGAGAAAGGGCAGAGATGTTGCTGTTTTGGGCTCAAAAATGGTACCTTTGGTATGCAGATTTCCTGTGCTAACTGGAACAAATTGAAGAAAAATTTGGCCTTGAATGACAGTGCCTTGAGAACAGGGATAGTTGAGTAAGGTCAGAGGCAGTAAAAAGGAACATAATTTTGTTAGCATGGGAGGTGACTGGTTGTAAAATCTGTTTGTAATTACTACAGTGCTCTTCTGAACTGTGTAGAGAATGAGGCTTTATTAGATAATAAACTAGGTCCCTGTGACTCTCATCATCTAGGCATATTAGAGAAAAGCAGCTGGAAGCAGCAGTAGGAAGAAAAGGATCAGCCTTATTTGGTTCTATTTGCCAAATACAGTTTACCAGAGTTAAAAAAACAAAAAAGGCATAACATGTTGTGCATGCTTTCTTACACATATCTTACTGGTAGTCCTTACAGAAGTGATATCACACAGAAATTAGAACTGATAGTTTCTCATTATTAGTAAATTTATGCTTGCTGCTCACTTTCAGTAGCAGTGTCAGAAACAGCCAAGTAAGTATGTTTTGTGTTAATATGCAGTCTTGATAGGAAGACGAAGTGTTTATAACTGGGATACACTGAAAAATTATTTTGTTAGAGGTGTAGAACTGCTTTTACTTACTTGATAAATCTGTTCAAGTAACTCCTGGAATGTCAAGACCTGATTCTGTTCATGTGTCAGTGGTACTCAGATTGCTTTTTTGTTTCTTAGACATTCAGCACTGCTTGGAACTCAGCTGGCTGATCTTCACCTTCATAACCAGAAACTTGGAGAGAAGCTGAAGAAAGAAGGGAACACAGTTGGTACAGTACACAGCTGTTTGCAAATTCAACCCAGTTGATGATAATCTACAAAGCAGTTAAAATGACTTTTGCTACTTCAGGACAAGTTCATCTTCCCTCGAAAACAGAATGAGAATAGGTTTGGATGAAGCAAACCTGGGGAGGGTTTATTTTTGATTTTGTTTGCATTGTTTGGGTCTGTGTAAGCAAAACACTCAGTATTGGACCCTTTTTTGGAGCCCAAACCACAGTTTCTACAAGGACATGGTATCAGAGGGGATAAAGAACTTTAAAATACAATTTTGAAGAGTAGAATAAGTCTGCTTTACATTTAAATTTAAATTTAAAAAACAACCACATTGTAACCATAAAAAGAACATTAAAATTTTTTATTCTCAGTAGAAGCAGCATTGCACTCTTCTTTAGTTTTAAAGGTTCAGTTGTGTCACGGATGCTCAGTATTTTGTCACTGTTGTTGAATTTTTGTCTTTGGTTTAAAAGGTAAAGGTCCAGGGCAAACAGAAGTCCAGTTTGTGGATCAGTTTGGCTTTCATACAGTTACCTGCTGCGGTTATCTTCCACAGGTAGGTTGTACTTCATCAGACAAATTTATCTTTTTTTCCCTTCAGTGATACAGGGGATCAAAAATTAGCATAATGGAAATAGATAAATTTTTGTGGAGCCATGAAAATAAACAAAACATGGTTCAGCCTGCTAAGGAAGGTGGTGCTTTGGACAGCACTTATAACTGCTTTGGACACTGATAACTCTTCAGTTTCTTGGACTTTAATCACTGAGAAAATTATTGCCCTACTTTAATGTTTTAAGATAACATTCGATTAAATGATAGCATTTACTGTCCTGGATGGTACCAGCACAAAAGCTGTGTGATCCTTAAAAGGCTTACTTGAAAGAGAAGAAAATCTGCCTTTTGTGTGCTGTAGAACTGACATCTGCAGTACTGTTCCTTCAGGTGAACGACTGGCAGAGTGACTGGGTGACCTTCTTTGCCAGACAGAGGATCCAGCCCCAGATGGACATGGTCGAAAAGAAGTCAGGTGACAGAGAAGCAAGAGAACTTTGGGCACAGCTTCAGGTAGGAGCAATTCCCTCAGTTCTCATTATTGGCAGAGCTGGGTATACTTCAATTTTATTTTCTTAAACCGAAGTTCCAGTTTGTTGGTTTGCACCAGGTACAGTTGATAAGAGACTCCAGTTTTTAAGGATTAAAATGCCCTTTATTCTAAGGTAAAATGGCATTTGCAACATCACCCTTGGCTAACATTCCAGAGTGAATTCCAAACTGCCAGATACTGCCCTGCCTTACCATTTGGGAAATACTGGATGGAGCTCATATTCTTATTCCCTTTAACACATTCATGAGGAGAAATGTACACAAGTAGTTCTGTCCTGCACGTTATCTGTTTGTGCACTGTTTGCACTTGATTAAGTGACTAAACTACTGGTTGGCTCCTTGGGTTCTGCTTTTTGGAAATTTGATGAGCTTTCTAATGATGAAGGGTTGGTGGTCACTGTTACTAACCCTGGTCAATATCTGAGTTTCAAGGATTTTATTTTCCTGCTAGGAAAAATTTAGGTTACTGTTCTGCTGCTGCCTTTTATGAAAAATAAGTGTCCTCTGGATGTACTCAGCATCTCTCTTGACCAGGTCCTATGGTGTTTCAAATGATGGGTTTCAAGACACTTCAAGTATGCAGATAAACCTCTACATTAATTTACATGTCTTACTTTTCTCCCCCTGCAGCTGAAGATACCCAGTTTGTTCTGTGGTGTGGAAATTGTTCCTGCTCTCCTGCATGGGGATCTCTGGGGAGGAAATGTAGCTGAGGATGATTCTGGTCCGATTATCTTCGATCCGGCTTCTTTCTACGGCCATTCAGAGTACGAGCTTGCAATAGCTGGGATGTTTGGTGGCTTCAGTAGTTCTTTTTATTCTGCTTACCACAGTAAAATCCCCAAAGCCACAGGGTTTGAGAAACGCCTGAAGCTTTATCAGCTCTTCCACTACATGAACCACTGGAACCATTTTGGTTCAGGGTACAGAGGGTCCTCTTTGAACATTATGAGAAACCTTGTAAAATAAGTTGCTGCTTAAGCCAAATACTTCCCATGTTGTGTGGAGAGCCCCATACTTGGTGGTGCAGCTGCAGGAGTAGTAATGTTAAAAACAAACTGTGAGACCCCTGACCGTGTTAAAGACCTAGAACCAGTGACACCTGCTGAATGCCAAGTGTAAAATAGTCATCCCTTTTTAGGATAGCTGGGGATAACTCCGTGAGGGGAGAAAACTAAGGAGGGAGTTTATTAATTTGCACAGTGAATAAAGGTCTCAGTGTCCAGAAAGCACATGAGACAGTGCAGGGTAGTACAAATAAGCATCGAGGAGATGCCTAAAAGAAGCTGCTCGCTGCATTTTGCTGTGTCTTCCTCTTTCAGCTCTTCATGTCCAGTTGTGTGCATGAGAGCAATGTCAACAGCAGAGCTTGAAAGTCAACAGTAAAATTATGTAACAGGAACTTTGAGAAGGGATTTGGACTTGCTATTAATTTTCACAGAATCAGAGTGGGTGAGATTGTGGGGGGGTGGGAATCACAGAATGTCATCTAGTCCAACCTCCCTGCCTAAGCAGATTACTCAGGATTGGGTCCAGAGGCTTTTAAAAGACCTCCAGGATTTTGCTGATTGATTCCATTGGATGCAGGCTGTTGGTGCCTCCTGGAATGCTTGTAGGCTGTTTGGTGCTTTCTGGTCAGTGGGCACTTATCCACAGCAATTTTGATTCCAGCAGAACTAGTTCTCTTCCTTTTTTGGATTATGCTTTTGTCCAGCATGCCATTAGAGAACTTTCTGGTTAAGACACTTTTCACGTACACACCTTGTGGAGGTGTATTCTCTAATAAAACCTGTACATGCTTCACGTGCATGACTGAAGTCACTCAAAATCCACCTAATCATGAAACTACATCAGCTGGAACTTTGTGTTTTCCACACCCCCAAAGAAAACAATAAAAATGCAACATAAAATGGGAAGGAGGTCAGGGAAGACTCCTCCTGGGATGGTTTACAGGCTGTAACCGTCTGCTTCTCCACAGGAATGCCTGTTAGGTAATTTTATTCCAAGGGAATACTACTGCTTGTGGTTTCTGATACCAGTGTGTTTATCAGCAATAGTTTATCAACCTTATTCTGGCACAAGGGTCAGTAAACCACAAATGTGCCCAGTGTCAAGTCTCCACCATTTCTGTATCTGTGCTCATGAGAGGTCTAATGCAGATTTAAGAGTGCTGCACTGTTCATTCTAAAATATTCAGTGTGAAGATCTCCCAGGGCCTCACCCACACTAGAAAGGGGAAGATGTAGACATCTGTGGAAAACAAGGAGGTCTTCCTTTCCTAAACTCTCACATGACAGTCCCCACTGAATGCCTGCGGCAGCTGTTGTGGTAAGAGAGGTGAAAGGGAAGGAAGTTAACATGTAACTCACGGTGCAGCACTTCAGCCCTGTCAGAATTCATTGTGATTGTTCCACAGGCTGTGGCTTTTGCCTGCAAGGAGTTAATACTGAAATTGTTCTGTTTTTGATGTAGGCTGGTACTGGTGTTTCTGTGCAAGCCTGCCAGGTAGGTGAGAGAGATGCATGATACCTAACGTGCACTTTGAGTGTTGGGGAATTACTTTTGTTAACTAGAACTGCTTTGCACTGGGTGTTGGCAGATTACTGAGGGTTTTGTAGTTGCTAGTTTGGAAATTATTGACACAAATTGGAAACAAGTTTGGATAAGACTGGTATTTGCTACAACTTTACTTAATTCTACTACTCTTCTCACTGGCTGTTGGACTTTTGCTGCAAAAAATCTGCTTGGTTAATACATTTTACTTTTACCTTGTTGCCTGAATAAAAGGTTTCCCAGTTTACTATTGTTGTCACTGTTTTCTAAATTAAAATCTTACATCTTGGTTTATTCTTGGGGAATTACTTGCTCTGACCTGTTAAAGATCCTTAGTTTATTAGATAAATTATGCTCATTGGAGGTGTTTCTGTGCATGGTCATGGGTTGGTTTAGAGAAGTGTGTCACTGAAAAAAATCGACGTGTTCCTTACAGTGCAAGTCAAGATGTTAATTTTCCTAAAATACATAAATAGTCTTCATTATTAGCAAGGGAAGATGAATATGAAAGTGGATTTTCTGTGAGTTGTAATTGTGAGATCAACTTACTGAGAAACAGCAAGTGTTCAGAGATGACCTTTTCCTAGTAGAACTGAATCAAAATATTTTTGTGATTGAAGAAAAGTTGTATTTAATCAAGTTATGCAGATAGAAACAATTGTATTGAGAGTTTTAATGTAAGGGTATTATGCTCAGTTTTTTAAAGCTGTTTTTTTGCTGTAAGATCAGAAGGGGTGTAGAGAGGCAGACAAATGGAATGTAATGGGAATCTCTCCTTTTTCATGGATCCCTTGGCTCTGAGCCCCTCTCGGGCTGCAGCCGCCTGCAAAAGCTGCCTGCAGATACAAATGTTACACTCCAGTGCTGGTTTTCCTCCTGCTTCTCCTCCTCAGTGCTGTTCCAAAATAGATCTGGTGATTAAAACTGCTTGCTGGGCTCTTATGGCAGAAGTCAGAGCAGGTGGGAAGTGCTACAGAATTAGAATGTGACAAAAATCTTTAGTGGGGGGAAAAGGTATTTCTGGTAACTGAGCCACACCACAGTGACAAAGGCTTTATTATTTTTTCTTGGTAAATATTCAGTTATTTCTAATTTGTTTTTATTTGAGGTTTTATTTGTTTGGGCATTTGTTTTGGTTTTCCCTTAACAATTAAACAGAAAAATTAATTAGTATTGCTTTCATTATGCAGATACAAGGTTTTCTATTTCTTGTCATTGTTTTTTTGCCAAAACAAAACACTTTATTCCTTTCCCTATGTGCTCCATTGCAGCCCAGGGTATGATTCTTCCAGCAGCTGGAGAGCCACCTAACCAAGAACGTAATCTTTATAGAGGCATTGGTAAAACAAGTATTATAGGATCTGGGTTATGATAGTGTGTATTAAAGGCTCAAAACTTTATACCTGAGAGTGCCAGTGCATTTTGCAAGTACATCTTATTGGTTGATCTTGTTTTTAAATTCAGCATCATTGCAAAAATGGGTTTTGAATTTTCTTCCTTCTTTGCCTCTTCAGAGCAATCCACTGTGAAACAAACAATCTGGGATTCATTTACAGCTCAATACTGTGGAAAGTTACTGTCCTAATCTTCGGTACCACTGATACAATGTAATTTAGAGGCAGTGATTCTGAATAGAAACACAAAATACAATCTCCCAGCCAAACTCACAGGAACGGGAATGAGGTTTATTGGTTTCCAGAAAAACACTCGGTTTGCATAGAAAGGATTGCTCCTTTATATAAAAGGTGAATTAGCACAATTCTTTCAGTTCTTTGCATGTCTCATGTTCCACTGGAGCTTTAATAAATTATTCCCAGAAACTGCCTGCATCCAAGCTTGAAATAATGTGCATATTTTCTCCAAGTTGTTTGGTGTAAATATTTACCTCCCCTTTTTGCAGTCATTGCCTCAGAGCAGACCTTTGCTGCTTGGTCAGTTGTTGCTTTATCTTCTGTTTCACCAGCTCCTACAAACAAACAGATTAGAACTTTTTGAGATGATTTAGCACTAAGGACACACAGCCAGTACTTTTTCAGGAGCAACATGAACATTCATGATGTTCATCTTGACTGTAGAAATGATGAAAAGGGTTGTTTCCTCGTAAGAAAATAATGGAAAAGGGAGATTCTATGCTTTGGACCAGGTCTGCATGGAGTGCTGTGTTTGTGTTCAATGCTACACCCTCAGGACTCAGAGCACCTAGAGAGGTGTGGGGTTATCTGTGCTATTGTCTTTTGATAGTCTAATAAACAGCATTTAAAATCCTACTTTCTAGTTCAAGTGTGTTTCTTACAGGGGTGACAAAGGACCAGCAGCTCTTGGTGTAAAACACATGCCTTCCACAAAAAATGTAAAAGCTGATAATATGGTAAAACATTTCAGGTCCAGCAGTAATTCTTTGGTTTGTGCCTATTGTAGAAAAACTGTTTTTTCTACAGTTAAAATTGCAAAAATATGAGTGGTTCTATCAGAAAACAAGAACTCCTTAATACGAGTGTGGCTGAGACAGATGGGCAGTCATCTGTTTCATCATGGTGGAGTCATACCTTGTTGGAAATGTGCTAGAAGAAATCTTTGACATGTAATCTAATGTAAATTCATCAAAATCTATCGCTCAGACAGAATACTTGCTGGAAAGACTCACTGGTCTCTCCACCATCACAACTTAAATGTGAGCAAATACTGAAAATGCTTCAGACTGAGCAGATGGACAATTTGTTACTTATATGGTTGACCATTCCCCTCGTTTCCTCCGAGTTACACAAAAGTATGTAAAGATTTGTACAAATACAGAATGATGCCTTACTTCATTTGAAATAGCTGATTCTTCACAATTCATGATGCTTTCTATTTCTGGCATAGTCTGCAAGTTGTGGCTGCATCTATTGCCAGTCCTGCCATTGTTTATAGCAACAAAGCCTGCAAGCATTTGTTTTTGTGATTAGCTTAATAATCTTTTTATGTTTTAATATGTTTTCTCCACTGACAGAGAGTTGCAAGAAGATAAATGCTTGCGGCAGTATCAGCTCTAATCAGCCCAGTGGTTCTTACAGAAATGCCACTATTTTGCATTTTTAGTTCTGTAATTATTTTCCCATGTTACAAATAGCCTGTTATAAATATTTTTATTTTAGCTCTTAGCACTCAAAAAGTAAAGGCTGAGCAATGGGCAGAAAGATCATTTTACTCAGCCTAAAATCATGTAAGTGGAAGCACTGTGCAAGGTAAATTAGTGGAAAGCAAAGTTTTTTATGCGGATGAATTGCTTGAAAGCTTTTCTTCTAAGTGCTTTTGTATTTCTTTTAGAACAGAAACTTAGGCAGGCACAAGCCATTTACATATTGTGTATTTAAAATACCTTAAAAAAAAAAATAAAATAAAATAAAGAATCCAGACATGAGAGAGTAAAGCAGCCAACTATTCCTGCTGGAAATGTCCTGATTCACATCGTGCAGAAAGACAAATTCAGACTGCCGCAGGGATCACTGCTGAAGGTGAGTTCACAGAAATCTCTAAGAGAGATTTCTCACTTTTCTCAGGTGAGAAAGGCCAATTGAAACCTGGGCTCAAGCACATCCACATTCCATGGATTTTCAGAGCATGTGGTAATTTACAGCTGGAACAACACTGCGAGTCAGTCTGGTGTGAAATAATCTGTGAGGAAGTTACCACCAAAATAGTCAAAATGATCAGAGAATTGGCTCAACATGCATATATCTCTCTGATCTGATTTTTGAATTTTTTTATGCTTGTGTGTCTGCAAAATGCTTTAAGACAGGTGTCCCACTCATATTTTGCAGTTAGAGAAATACTATATTAATAAAAATAGTTGAAAATGCCACAAATTATCAGTGATAGTTACCAGTGGAAAAAATATTTAGGAGCGGGCATCATCAAGCAAGGGCATTTGATGTTTGCAGCACAGTCACACAGCAGTTTGAATATCAAATGGGCATTTGTGTTTGACAGGTCTCCAGTGCACTTGATTTTCTGGGGCTTGGATTGATTTTGGACACTTAAAAGGCTTCATGTGCACAAAACTGGGCAAGCAAGAAGTTCCATGCCTAAATTAGGGGGAAACCATGCCAGGTGTGCTTTAACTAATCCATCTGCTGCTTGCATTGCACACCACATCACGGAAGTACCCCAAAACACACAGGTACAGTGCAAGTTGCTTTTATTCAGGCTCCCCATATCTCTGCTTTGATGTGGGACATTATTTTCCACACAGAAATTGTGGAGGTTCCCCACTGCATTGCCTGCAGAGAGGGTTTATCCACCTGCCACCCCCTCTTTTAAACTCATTTTAGTCTTTTCCTCAGACCTCTTCTTCCATTGCAAGTGCAGCTACTTCTTAGATCAAATTTAATCAGAAGAGGGCAGTATTTCATTTAGTCTGACTATTTTTTTTGTGGGGCCCTCTGAACGTTCTCTCTTTAGCTTCCAGAGCATGCTATAATCAGTTTTACATGTCATGAATACATTTTCCCTTGAGCTTACTAAAAATAGAAACTTCAACCACATCACCTTGAAAAAAGATAATATCCTGGAGGATTTTTACTGGGTTCTGGGGGAATTTCACAAGTCCACTTTCTATGTGCACTTATGCCTGAAGTGGCATAATTATCTGTAATTGCATAGAAATTCAACTCGTTTACAAACCTTCCATCTTTAGGGCTGTAAAATCTGTAAAGATAAGAGAGATAAGAGTTTAATTTGGAAAAGCTGTAGTGCTGTGCTTCTTTTTTTTTCCCTCACTGTTGTTTCTCCATTTCTTCCCTTCATCTAAAGGGAAAAGCTACCCTTAAAGTCTTTCATTACTGATAATTTATCACCTTTTCTGAAGGAAGGAGCCATTGGGAAAGGAAAACAAAGCAGGTAGAAGAGCCCTGGAGTAACTATTTCAGGGAGCAGGTTTAAGTGGAAGGTGTAGGGGAGGTTTACCCCAAATCTGCTGTTCTGGTTTGTAAAGGGCTTTGTGAAACAGAGATTTCATAGGGGAACATGTTGGGGGAGTTACCAAAAGGAGGGAATTTGACTTGCTGAGATGAAAGTGTTGTTAATTAACTAAATCAACACGGGGCACTTGGGTTATAAAGAGATGCTAATTTTTTGAATATAGTGAAACTCTCTAAGCTGGGAGAAATAGATGATTTGCTTCATGAATAGGACAAAGTGGCCAAGCTTTGGGAAGAGGTATCACAACTGCTGAGAGATTAATAAACATCTTACACTAAGATTACCCAAGAAATCTTTCTGTCACTTTCCAAAGCATTTGGGAGCATCCATCTCTACAAGGATTTTCATTAAAGTACTGAATAATAAAATCTAGGGAGATTTCATATTCAGTATTCTGGCTTCTGATGACATTTTTAAGGGAAATCAAAATACTGAAGTACATAATCCTGCCCCAAGGAGAAAGGGACGTGGTGATGCAGAGAGGGGGAGAGACTGTGCTCTGATAAGGTCTGGTGTGATGGCTGGGGGTGAGGGGTTAAATTTTGTCATTAGATTTTCCTTTATCAAAAGAGAAGTTCTCCCCATTGCTTTTCCTCCCCCCTCCCCCTTTGATTCTGCAGTCTCTGTGCTTGTAAGTGCTCTAACACCACCCACTTTTCATTTTGCCATTGTTGATTTTTCTCAGGATGTATTTCAACCTATTTTTATCTGTGCTCTACAGAAAGTATATTCAGAGAAATCAGAGGAAACTCACCTCAAGCATCATGTCAAGAAACAAACAGACTGTGAGGAACAGCTACAAAAGGCACATCGAGGTGCAGAGAAAATTAATTACTTCACTGTGATCTCCAGAGGAGATACCTCATATTCAGATTGCTGACCCTATATATCCTTCAGTAAGTGAGGCCAAAAAAATGCAGAGTGCTTAACAACTCCTAAAAGTTGCCCAGCTGTAATTTCTGATGTGGTATTTTGAAGCACAAGAGCTGCACACAGATCTTTGTATCGATATGTTCTATATCTGTGCATTGAAAAAATGCCACTTTTGCTTTGTGATCACTTTCAGAACTCTGCAGCTCCTGTTGCACGCACATGTTCAAGGTGTGTGTAAAGTTTTTGCTTACTGTGCCCAACAGTTACCTAAGGGTAGTTTCTAAAAGAAGGAAACCAACATGAAAAAAAAGAATTAAGCAAGAAAACAACTCTCCAATTTATCTTATTTCCAGGGAGTCCAAAGTGAGTAACAAAGACAGCACAAAACCCACAACAAAAGAGTTGCAGAAATGTGACCCCCATCTACAGCAGATGTTCCAGATGAGCTTTGTCTGATTTAATTTGTATTCTTTACCAATTTCTTTGCCTCAAATCAAGGCCTGCAAGTGGGACAAGTGTCTCTCACACCTGCCTTGTTGACCACTCCACAGCAAGAAAAGTGATCTCC